TTTTTTTTTTTTTTGGGTACAGGGGATAAAACTCGGGTCCTTGCGCTTGCAAGGCAGGCCACTGAACCGCTGAGCTAAATCCCTGGCCGCCTTCTTTAGTCTTAACCACAGATACTTGGCCAACCTGGCCACAGAGAGACCCAGAGATATCCTGCCTGGGAAGAGATAGAGAAGTAGGAGAAATCAGCAGGTTGCTCCCAGAGTACCCTCCTTTCTGCCCCATGAGTGTTGCTCCCTTGCTTTGTCCTTAGAAAACGAGAATTTGCCCCCTTAGACCTGGAGTCTGGATCACTTTGCAGAGGGCTGTAAAAGCTACTGTATTTTTCAGAGATGGGATGGACTTAACTTCATTCCACTAAGACACTGCTGGGAGGAGACAAGGTACCCCAAATCCCAATGCTGGGCACTCATCTGCAAAGAAACACACACAGTGCAGGTCTATCACTGAGGGTGCAGGAATGACATGGGTATTTTTTACAGTTTAAAGTTTTTAATTAGGTCTCAGCAACAGGAGAAATCAGGGTACCTAGCTCTGTGGAAGTCATCTTTAGAAGAGCCTTGTGTGAATGAAAGAAGTGGCACTTGAATTCTTCTTTCAACACCTGTCCCTCAGCAAACCAAATTATTATGAAGGTGTCTTGTTGAAGTCCAAAGAAATGCTGCTGGTAGAGAGAACAGACAGAGAACAGGACCTCAGGGTAAGGAAAGCTAAGTGTGCTTGTCAGGCTGCCAGAGCAGCTTCTGATCCAGCCTGGGCCCTTTACTCTCACTTGGGGCTAGAATCTCCATCTGCAAAGAGCAGATAATAATGCCTACTTAAAGAAGAGATAAGGCAATGAATTCAGGGTTATGAAATCCCTAATCCTCCTCCTCCTGCCCATCATCAGACCCTCGAGCAGTGACCCCTAGACTGGTGGCCAATCAAGGGATGTCAGAAGAACCCCAGCCTTTAGTTTGTGCATGGCAAAATCCTCTGTTCCATCCACACTTCACAAACTGAGCGCCGTGCCTGGCTACTTCTAAGTGTTCAGCAGTGCCAGCATTAGAACAGGATAGGCTCATCCCAGCCTGACCATTGACTCCCTGTGTGACACCCTCGCTGGGCCTCCAATATCACTGAAGTTATGCTTTCAATAAAGAGGACAAAAAAGAAGGTTAAGGACAACCATCAAATTCATGGGGAGCCAGAAACAGGCATGTTACTGTGGTAGGAGTGAAAGAGGACTTAATTTAGAATGTTTATTCCTTCAATCATTTAACAAGCGACCTGAGGCCAAATATACCAAAACCTTAAAGTCAGCTGGAGATAAGAGTTAGGTGTGTTATCATTAGAACCCAAAAGAAACTGTGCGCAGGTCTGCACTCTCCCAGCTTGCTGTCACCCCCATCCTCCCAGGACCCTATTTTGCGAGAACCTTCTCAAGACTGGCGCGCTGACCCTCCCGTCCAAGGTCACGCGGGTTGCTGGACTCCAGAGCCCGCGCAAAAGGCTCTCCCGCCACGGGCTGGGCTGGCGGGCTGTTTCCCGG